AGCAAAAGACTGTACACAAGCATAACAACATGGATGGATCTTAAAAACAGTGCTGAGTAAAAAATAGGAGAACTGGGAATGAGTTATGTCATCCAATATGATTTACATACATTTAAAATATGTTATACTCAAAGCAATTTTACAAGGACACATTTTTAAAAGACACAACAAAAGGATACAAATTTAACACATCAAAATGGTTGCACAAAGAAGGTGGAAGAAAAGATGGGGGTAAAATGAAATGAATGAATAAACACAGAGCGGGACCTTGTGGAGACTGACATTAGCGATATGCGATAAACTGAGCAGTATGATGAGTTCACGCTTCTCATCTGACACCCATCCATCTGCCTGTGTTGGACATGCATGGGAATGTTTTGTTCAGATGGGATGCTGAGTGCCTACCTCCTTCCCGATAGTCAGGTCCTAAAGAAAGAAGAAGGTGAAACTCTCCTTTGAGGGGTCTGCATGTCTCAATGAAGCAAGAACTTGAGCTGTTTCTAAGTAGCGGACAAGAGAGAAGCCTCTTCAGTTCCCTATCTTGGTGAGAGGGAAGTGTGGCCCATACAAGCAGTGTGGTGTAGACAGACAGCAGTGGACAGTGATCATTGGGCTTTCTTTTCCAACTGAGAACTATGTAGATTTGCATGATCCACCATCTATTGTCCCAGAACCCAAGGTTTGCCAATCTTCATTAATATTCATAACCTCAAAACCTGAAGCTTGTATTAGACTCCTGGAGTTTTCCTAAAAAGCCTCAGAGAGCAGCTCAGCCTGGATGTGGATAGCAGGGACTGGAGCAAAGGCAATAAAGAAAACTCATTATCCATCTCTGGGTACCTCAGCAAATGATTGTCTTCACTTAACCTCAAGGTCAAGACAACCTATTTTATAGCGTTCACTGTCTCTGAGGACAAGCTTTAGCGAGTACCTTGTTTGCTTCTTACAGTATTAAAAGAGACAATGAAACCTGCCTCTCAGAAGATCATTTCACCAAGTCCCTGTTGCTCTGTGGGGAATATTTGTTTCCTCATTTATATTCATGTCTCTAAAAGACAAGCAGACCTTGGATGAAATTTCGGGTGACAGTAAATTATAAATAATGTATCCAGAGTTTTTTCTTTTCCATATTTCTTGTATTTAATTCTCCCCAGAGTCTTGTGCAAACACCAGAGACAAGAGGACAGGAAGCTATTATCATGATGGAAAGAATGAAATGGGCTTATGTTATATGGCAGTTATGCAACAAGGGAAGATATCTTGATCAAAGGAGGTTTTGAGGTTTTGTGGGGGCCAGTTCTTCTCTTTTCTCTCTCTTTCTCTCTATCTTTTATTTTTATTTTATTTTTTTAACATCCCAACTCTTCGGGATCATTAAGTAGGCATCTGCTTGAAATGAGTTTCTTTTCTTGGCCCATCCAGGATGAGATGAGGGTTTGTCGGTGGATGGTGGCCACTTTGGGGCCCAACTTTAAGCTCTTTTGTTCCATAAGACAAAGCATAAAAAATGCTTAGAACGATCAGCTGAGATCAGCCGGTCCTAAGAACAGGATACTGCTAAGTGGAAAGCTCAGGCACTGTCAATGAAGTCAGGAAGGATGCTGGTTACTAGAATGAAATTAGCCTCCAAATCCATCAGCCCTGATTTGTCATCATTTAGGATCCCTGGTGTTCTCAGACCTCTTGCTCAGCAGGAATAATTCATGGAGTTCAGACTGGAAGCGCTCCAATCTTTCAAGTAAGTGAGGATACTCTGCTATTTGTTTTTGTTTCTTTCCTTTCTTCTTTTTTTTAGGCAAAAAGGAGTCCACAAAGGGAGCCCGCTGGGTGTGCTATGTGGCTGCTGGTGTGTGTGGGAAGTTAGTGCTAGTCCCGATAGAAGGACAGGGAGAGGATGGGCTGGGATGCGCTGACAGTGAGGGTAGGCTCCACAAATGGTGCAATCAGGCACTGGTGCTGCTACTGCAACCACTCTTCCCAGAGGAAGCCTGATCTCGGATCTTGGGAGATCTATGGGGGCCAGCAGGGGAGTCCTGGGATGAGAAACACCTGGGGGCCCAGGGCGCCGGAGGCCCCTCCTCCCAGACTCCTCCTTAAGGAGTCTGGCTCATGCTGCCTATCAAGCAAACCCCAATCTTTCTCTTCTTGACAACATCCTGATCCCCAAACGTAGGATGCTGGTACTTTGTATTCTCTTCCTCTTTAATAAAGCTTGCTTTTGGCTTGGGGAGCAGGGAATGGGAGGGGGGTAGAAAAGATAGGGGAAGGGACATCGGACAGGCAATGAAGACTCATTAATATTGGCATGCAAATAACTGTAGGCTTAGTGCAATTTATTCAAGAAAATTTGCATTTTGGGTGGCAGAAGGAGCCTGAAATTAGAGGGACTTTGGGGGTCAGATTCTGCAGGCAGTGCCTCTTTCCTGTGCCATCCCTGCGAGGGATACGGCGAATCTTCTCTTCCTACAGCCTGCTTTCACCAGAAACCCCTCTTCTGTGCTCTGCAGCTGGGATTAAACTATTCAGTTCAACCAACACTGATTATGTCTGCTATGTGCCAGGCTTTGTGCAAGGCACTTTCACATGCATAACCTCTGTCCACAAGCTTTTCATTCTGCAACCACTCATTGCAGTGGGTTCTGATAAGTCTCCAAGACAAAGCTGACAGTGTTTGGTATGCATCAGTGACTTAAATCCAAATTTGGGTTTTCCGGTAAAACTCTGCAAAAGCTTCCAAACATGGACATGTCTTTGCCAAGTACCACTGCAGTAGTGGCAAATCCTCTTCTGGTACCCCAAACTCTACATGGAGCAGCTCGGTCAGTAACTACACCGTACAGGAACGTGGGCTCTTCTGCGTTCTCCTTTCCAAGTTGGTATTGGTCATGCATGGAAGCCCAGTGTCAATTGGAGTCTTGTAAAAACAAATAAACACCTAAAAACATCCTGACGGTCCCTCTGCACTGTCTACCAAACAAAGCCACTACCCTGGTGTCCTCTCCAGACTTCGGAGAATTGTTAACCCTCTGCTTATTGGATCTTGCTGAGCCCTTAGCTGGATTTGGGGTCCCAGACTCAAACTGTTGCACAGCCCCTGGGGCAGCTTCATCTAAGAGAGGCCAGGGTCCCTTTCAGCCCTGGGGCATCTGGAGCAAGACACTGCAGAAACCTCAGCTATATTGTCATACTGCTCACAGCCAGCATCTGTGCATTACTAGCATGAGAATTAAAAGCTCATACTACACTGAGCAAGCATCAAAACCCATGCATTATGGGGACGAAATGATTGGTTTAGACCTAATAAATATGCAAATTGGGAGCTCTATTTACGTTTCTGTCATCTGTGTCCTTTTTATGGGAAAGAAGGTCTTAATTCAATAGAAATCTCTAATACATGGATCTTTGGGTGGTGGCTTGGAAAAGAGGACCACAGAAGAACCTTATTTAACCTGTGAATGTGCAGGGCAGGGCTTGAACAAGAAGACGGTAGCACCTCGGTTGAGACAAGACCTCTTGAAAGGGCAGGGAGTGTGAGCATAACTGACTTCAGCCCGATAAAAGAGATGAGTCCTCCTTCCAGTTCCACTTGATAGGAGCATGTCTTGAATTCTTGTCTTGGTTGCGAGACCAAGGTTTATTTTAATTTTTTTAATTAAAAAATTGTTTTTATGATTACTGTGCTCATTGTAGACACTTTGTAAGATATTGAAAAGTATAAAAAGCAGGAAAAAGAGGCCTCATTTGCAATCTCACCACCCTAAACAACCCCTGGCGACATTTGGTGCATTTGATCTGGTGTCCTGCTTTGTCATACAAAACAAGTCTAATGGGGGAGGCCCCTGGGCAGGGGAGGGGAGCTCTGTCACCCCTCTCTGGTGTTGGGGCATGGGCAGGAATCCAATCATCCTGGAGCTCTGAGATGACAGGCAGGCAGGCGTCTAGGGATGAGCAACGTGCTCACACTTGCCTCACGCACGTGCACGGCCACACCCCTAGAATGTGGGGCAGGGAGAGAATTCAAAGTCTGGACTCCAGATTGTAGAGAGGCACTGTGGGAGGAGGCAGAGAGGACTGCTCACGGTACAGAGCCCAGAGCCAGAACAACCGCAGTCAAATCCCAGCTCTCCTATTTAAGAGCTCCGGGCTCTTGGGTGGGCTGTCTCACTGGTCTGTGGCCCAGTTTCCTCACCCGTAAATAGGGATAATAGAACATACCTTGTAGGCTGTCATGAGGATTAAATTCAATAATGCAAGTAATACAGTTAGAGCAGTGCCCGTCACATAGCCCTCAAAGGTTAGATATTAGTTTATTTCCTGTTACACACATCAGGACACTCTTATCTCTTAGGGACATTTCCAAGTATCATCTGCTGATACTTAAATGAGGGAAGGCAGGAGGAGCAGCTGGATTTAGAAGGGGAAGAACTCAGTTCAAGTTCTGACCCAGCCTCTTACTAGCCATAGAAGTCATTTGATTTCCATGCTCCTCAGTTTCGTCATCTGTGACATGGGGATGATAAGGCCCTCCTTACCAGTTGTTATAAGGACTGACTCGAGACCATAGGAATGCAAAAGTGCTTTGTGTATGGAGAAGAATCATAGGTTTAATATTGAGTGTTGACTACTGCTATTTTTACTAGGTGACTCTCTGATTACAGACAGCGGAGGAAGATGGGAGGGAAGGGAACTTTGCTGGAAAAACACGTGCAGAAAATCTCAACAGGAACCTGATGTCTTTACTTGGTGCGTTTAGTTGGTCCAGGTGGATCAGGGATTAGTGCTGTTGGTTCCTACGGTGGCCTTGGTAGTGAGAGGTTTCCTGGCAGGACCTTGAAAGTGGGAAAGGCAGCAATGGAGGAAAAAATAATTTTCCTTTGCAGAAAGAGGCAATTGAGTTTCTTTGGTAGGCTCCTCCCCGCTCAAGTCTTAGCAGAGGCTGCCAAGGACACAAACGTCACGCAGGGGAGAAGAAGGGATGGAAGTGGCAGAAAGTCTCTCACCTGTGGTGAAGGCTGTGGAGGTGATGCTGCTCCGCGTGGCGTCCTGGGCTGCCTGCAGGAGCACTGTGTAGTCTGTGCTCTCTGACAGGCCCTCCAGTCGGATCCATGTGTCCTCTGCATCCACAATCAGCTCCTGTGGAATGAGCCGGAGGAAGGCAGATGAAAGGTAGCAACGGGCTCGCAATAGAGGAAGTGGGGAAGGAAGTCCAGATCCCACAGCCAGCTGGGTCAGTACTGCAGTGGTCATTTTCATCCTCTGCAACCCACAATGAGGAGAACCAAGCCAACAAGCCGAGAGGACAGCTCCTCTGTGAGATTTAGGCCAGCTCCTATCTTCCAGATGCACATTGGGATAAACATAGGCACCTGGATTATCGAATCCAGTGGCTTTCGCATTGCACTGGGCCTCCTCGACAGGTGAGGAAGCAGAATCCTAGGCCTACTCCGTCTCCAACAGACTAGCTCTGCTTAAATCTACTCTGAACATGATTTCACTTTAAAAAAGAATTCCACTGCTAACAAAAGTTTGACAACCAGTGCTCTAGATGGACTGTTTCAACTGATCACATGAAACAGAAATTTGTCATCTCTTTACTGTAGGCCATATAGATGTAGCCTTTATAATGCTTATCAGGAGGCATAAAAGGCTGTTGAATTTGGTATCCAGCTCATGTTTGCTTGGTCCTGTTAGTGAAAAATCATTCCAATATCATGTACTTCTATAGCCTTGGAAATTTCCAAGGTGCTTTGCATCATCATGTTGGAAGCACCACAACCAAGCGAAGTTGCAGGAATAGATACCCCCATTATCTAGAGAGGAAACTAAGGCTCACGGAGGTTTAGTATTTTGCCTCAACTTGTATGAAGAGGAATAGTGGAGCCAGGATTAGCACCCAAGTCTCTGGCTTGCAGACTCCTTCCTCAACAGCATGCTATGTATCCATAGTAAGAAACCCAGCTTGTTCCTTGAGGATTGCTTGATAGGAATGGTCTTTCCCCTTGACAGAAAAATCTCACCTTGCGGCTTCCATCGGTGGATCTGTAGGTCAAGACGTAGTTTTCAATGTCTGCTCTGGGAGGCTGCCAGGAGATCAGGGCACTTTGTCTGGTGACTTCACTGGCTGTTAGGTTTGCAGGAGGGTCCAGGACTGCAAAGAGGAGGCAATGCCAGAGCGCCTGCCCCTCCAGCTCCTCCCCGTTCGATTCCAGGCATGTGTACCTATTTGCCCACTTGTGTGGTCCCTGGGCTGCTCACATGCTGACCCAGCTCTAGCTTGGACAGGAGCATAAAGGGTGCTCCTGGGTCAGAAGACAACTGTTGAGTATCATGATTATTCTTACAGCTATCCCCCTCTTCTCTCATCTGGGCCTCTGGGCCTCGGTGTGACACCTTACAGTCTGACACTTTATGTCTGAAACCATGACCTTGTTAAATCTGCATGTCTGTGAGTTCAGTTTTGAACTTATAACATTCTCACATCTATATCTTTGTCTACTGTTCTCCTGGCCGTGACCACACCCAGCACTCTCTCCCCGATATCAAGCCCTTTCATATCCATCAGACTTTTCTGAGCCAGATGCATCACCAGTACTGGCCTCTCTTGGCCTGATTCTACTGCTATCAGCCAGATCCAGGATGAGAGCAGAAAACAGATATGTGTCTGCTGGCCAACAGCTGCAGCTCACTTCCACTGGCATTTGGGCCACAGTCAACTAAAATAAGAATAGCTCATGGCTGCATTGTCCAAAGCCTATAGACTATAATCTAGTCTATCACATGCAAACTGATCATTTTCGGGATCCACAAAAACCTCCAGGGATACTGGATATGTAGCTGACCATGTACTCACGGGTAGAGAAGTTGGTGCTGATGGTGCCACTGGTGAGAGGCCCATTGGTGGCATACAAAGTGACGGTATAGTGGGTACTAGGAAGCAGGTCAACAAGCTGGAATTCCTCACTGCCTCCATCAACCAGGATGGTCTCTCCAGCAACTGAAATCAGATGAGCATGGATAAAGATTGAATAAAGCTATTCAACTTAGGAAAGACTCATCAAATCCAAAGTCATTTCCAAAGATTCAATATTAGAGAATTTTGGAAAAAATATTTTGGAGGTTATTTAGCTTAGCATTTTACTCCATACAAGGATCCCCTCTCACCTAGTTTTGCATTGAGAAAAATATTCTTTATTTTTTTTCAGAAATCTTTTTTCTTTTTTAAGATTTTTTTATTTTTCCTTTTTTTCCCCAAACCCCCCTGGTACATAGGTGTGTACTTTGAGTTGTGGGTCCTTCCAGTTGTGGCATGTGGGATGCCGCCTCAGTGTGGCCTGATGAGTGGTGCCACATCCGTGGCCAGGATTCGAACCGGCGAAACCCTGGGCTGCCAAAGCGGAGCACGCAAACATAACCACTCGGCCATGGGGCCAGCCCCAAGAAAAATATCCTTTATTTGGAGGCCAAAATATCTTTTCTATAACTTCTACTCAGACCTCTGAAGTTATAAAGAATAAGCCAAATCTTTTGTCTACATGACCCCTTCCTTCCCACCACCATTCCTAATCAAGTCCTCTTTCTTCCAGACTGAGAAAATTCAGCCCCCATCCCCTATTACATGTATGTGACAACTCTAAAACCATCTCAATCCTGGCTACCTTTCTCTAGACAAGTAGTAGTTTATCAGTGTCCCTGCTGAAATGCAGAACTCAGGAGAATTGAGAACAATAGTTGAGAAGTACTGCCCAATGAAACAAACAGGGTCAACCTATGCTTATATTTGTGCCAATTATATTAGTCCATTAGGTTTTGAGACAGTCATGTGATATGGTGTCACATGCAAGATTATTACTAATCAAAGACTTTCTTTATAACCACCCAACCCAACCTTATGTAGTTGAGTTTTTGTACCCATAGGCAGAGCTTTCCATTTATTTCTATTGCATTTTGCCGTCTTGAGTTTTGGGCCATTGTTTCACTTTATTAAAATTTATTTGAATTTGGATTTTATTGATCACAGTTTTGTTTTATACACATATTTGTGAGCATGTCTTCTCTGGATTCATTCAAGCTGCTGATAAAACTGTTCATTAGATCAGGGCCAAGCCCTCTTTGTGCCTTTAGAATATTCTGGAGTCATTCAACATTTAACAAAGTTTACTAGGCACTTCTCCAAACTAGGTAGGGCCAGAAGTGTCAAGTTTCTTGTGGTCTAAAGGCATAGAAGGCATGTGAACAAGTTCAAATCCAAAAGGAGTCTTTGGAAGAGCAAACATAATGACTCTACCTTTTCAATATCCTCCTTTGAAACATCCTGCCATCAGTTAATGCTCCAGTCATGTCAAACTATCGCAGTTCCTCAGACTCTTCATGCTCTCTCATATCTCTGTAAATGCACACAGGCTGCTCTTCTTCTTTTCTCTCCCGTTCTCTTTCTTTAATTTTATCTGAGATGCACCTCCTTTCTTCTCTTCAACATCCTGATCCCAAATCATAGTGGCCCAAAAGACGTATCTAAGGTGTTTTGTGCTTGACTATATCATGACACTGCTCCCTTAGAGTTGTAACTATTTACTTGTCTGCATCGTCGCTAGATGTGGGTTCTGTGAAGACAAGAGCTCATGTTTTGTCTCTGAATCTTTACAGCCTTATAGAGTATATGGCACATGAGAGGGCATCAAAAGTATTTGTTGAGTGAATGAAAGTTAATTGCTATGATGGACCTGTGTACTTTTGTACCTGTGAGCAGGTGCATCTGACTGCCTTAGGGGAAAAAATGGGAGCTTTGACAGAGGAGATAGTGTTGAAACTAAGACTTGAAGGATGGGTTTTCTAGGCAGACAAGTAGGGAGAGAATTTCCTGGTGGAGGAAACAGCATGTGCAAATGCCTGGTGACTTGAGAAGGCATGGTGAGAATTAAGAAGTGCAGGATCATCATATGCAAGGAGGGATGGTAGCAGCTGAGGTGGATTGTGTATCAGAGGGGTTAGGATGTATCCAGAGTGATGATATTCATTCTTTGAGGAGGGTCATTCAGTCAACTACAGTTCCATGTAACTCCAAATATGACCCATCATGTATTTTTCCATCTAAGCGATTAGTGGGTTTTTCTAATGCCTTGCTGAAATACAAATGTGCTAGCAGATTTGCCAACAAAAAAAGGACGTAAACTGGTTTTGGTAAAACTTATTCGTAGTGAACCTGTGCTGTTATGTAGTAATCACTAATTCCTCTTCCAATTTGTTGAATAGTCTGTTTTGGGTTTTACTTTCCCAAGCTTTGACAATCAGTTTATTTCTTTGCAGCTTACAGAATTGGCTTTCTCTGCCATTTTTGAGAAGTAAGACATCTGCCTGCCTTCTGTCTTCTGGTATCTCTGTTTTCTGGATTCCTGAATATAACTCACAACAATTCTGTGATCATATGTATAATTTAGGCAGGGAAATAATTTTCCTAGGCCTGGTACTTGGACTACTCAATACTATTCTGCTTTGGGCCTCTCTGTTCAACTTCAAATAGCATAAGGTGAACAAGCATGGTGAAGAAGACATTGAAACTCAAGATTTCATCTTGGCTCAAACTTTTGGGCCGGATGTGGGTAGAGAAGACCCATATCTGCTCCAAGCATGATCCTACAAATTTAGTGTTTTTCTTGCTCTATGAATATCTAGCCAAGTCTGCTTTTCTGCCCATAGCCTTTTGGGCCTGGTCTTAGCTTAATTCTGAGTTTTGTCTTCCTCTTGCTACTTCTCTGTTCTTGTATTTGCCCTTGGGTATGTGCCCTTCTTGTAACCTTCTGAGTCAGCTTTCTCAATTCCTATAGTTGATACAGTTTGCAGAGTTTGGGGACATCCTGAGGGCTTCATAGTGAAATTGAAGCAGGAAGATTTCTAATTTGTCCCTCAGATTGACAAAATGTTTTGGTTTTTTTCCTTTCACACTAGTCTTCAGCCTCAGTCTCCACCATTCCCACCTGCCTGATGCATAGGCCTGCAGATACCCACCTGCAAAGTGGGTGAGAACGATGACATAGTTCTCCACTTCACCCACTGGCGCCTTCCACTGCAGCAGGGCTTCCGTTGGAGTGATATTGGTAGCAATCAGATCCACAGGGTTGTCCATGGCTGAAAGAGAACAGGAGAGTATGGGGAAAGGTGAGAGGAACTGCAGCATGGAACTGTGGTGAACTATCTCCTGTAGATTCACCCACGACTCATGTCTGCTGCTGAACAAAATAATGAAGTGAGTGGAGACCTTTTTCCTTTATCCCCTCTGATTCCCACCAGCCCCTTCCTCCTCTCCCTTTCTGCCTTCCTCTCAAGTACCCAGCTCTCCTCTGATTGCCCCCAGATCTTCCTCTTAATTCATTAACTTCTTATGTACAGAGTACGGTCAGGCGCTGTGGGGGATTCCAAGTTATGGCTGTTGTGTCTTAGACATTTAAGCCTAGATGGAGAACTAAGGAATATAGAAATTGTTATATTTCTTTAGCTAATGAGATAATACACTTCCCAAGATATTTGCACTTTGATAAATGTAAGGGGCATGCCTGTGGAACCATCTGTATTGTTGAACTTCAAGAGGTGTGGTGGGAGCTCCGTGAAGGCAGAAGTGTTCCTGGCACCTAGAACTTAGAAAGTGCTCGATACATATTTGTGCCAGGACTGAATGGGACTCAGCTTTCCTCTGAAGTCGTATGTGATTATTGAATTCTTGCTTTACTACTCACAAAGCTTACTCTGTACTGAGTCCTGGTATCCTTTTTGTGACATAGCAAATCAAGGAGATTCTTCTAGGTTTAAGGCCAAGAGTGCCTGTTGGGGCAACAAGATTTGCTTGTCATAGGGCCATGTTTGTATTCTCATTTGCCCATGCTCTGTGCCTTTGTTTTATTACTGTGCTTCCCTTCTATAGAGTTGGGATTTATTCTAGAGATGAACGTTATTACGACAGTTTAGGTATCAGCTCAACCTAAGTGTCATGCAATTTACTTTTGGGGAGCAAGATGTGCTGTTGATTTGGCCCTGTTCTCTAATTGAAGACTTTTATTGCTTTCCCATGCCCATCACTTCAAAGCAACAACCATAAAATGTTTTTACAGTTTACATCTGAATTGTATCCATAATCTATGCCTTCAATGAGTTCTTCTGATGTGACCTTAGGAGAAGAAATGAAGAAGAAAAGTCTTATGAGACTATGGTTAGCTTGATCTCCCTGAGATTAAGCATGAGACCCTGAAGGAGTGCTCATTTCCAAAAGTTGTAAGATCATAGACTTCACGTTAGAACAACAACAACAAGCAACAACAAAATAAGACGTTTCTGTGAGCAATCTGGTTACTGGGAGTTTACAAAATAGCTCTGCCTGGACTTGGTGGGGGGGGTTTGTGTTGGCACACTGGTGAACATCTGCATTAGAGATGCTCGCTGCTTATCACCAAGAACCCAAAGAATGAGCTATTGACCTGAGTTGCTGCTCTCTTTCTCCTTGGGGGTAGGAGGCTCTTCAAGTCCATTTTATTGTCCTCAGTGAGAAAAAGCTTGATTTCTTTGTCATGAATTTCTAAGACTTTCAGGAAGGTGTGAGAGCTTCTTTTGACTCATAGGGTATCACTTCAGGGTCAATTAGTGTTGATACTTTAGTGGTCAGAAATAATTTGATAGAAAGGGTAAGACTGAACCAACAACATGGCTGGGTTATTTGTGGTCATAGGCCTGGAAGGAGACTAGGGAAGAGTCCAACAGCCTGTGTTGTCTGTAGAAGAAGACTTTTTTTGAGTTTCTGAAGGAATGTTTCTTTGGGTGTGGCCTTAGAGACACTGCTTTTGGGCTTCTGAGAGCATCCACAAAAGCAGTGAGGAATTCCAAGTTACATTTTTCTCATTCAGGAAATACCATTCTCTGAGGAAAGTAAGCAACCTCAGGAAATCCAGGTGTTCTCCTAATGAGACAAGTTGGGTGTTTTCCCACGTGCTATGGGAACTATAGCTTAACTGGGAGGTTAGTTCTGGGGGTTGGGGACAGAAAACTGTGACTGTCCCCTCTGGTGACTTCTACAGCAAATCTTTCCTAGTTCTGCATTGTGGGCTGGCTGAGAGGCTAGAGAATGAGGGGTGGGGGAGCTGCCGCAGAAGCCCCATCCTCAGCCCCATCCAAGGGGCTCATTGTCCAGAGGAAAGCTGCCACCTTCTTCCTCCCTCAAGCCTGAAGCAAGAGCAAATGCAGCTGCTTGGTGGTTTCTGGCAATATAGGAGAGAGGTTTCCTGACCCTGAGGGTTGTTACTAGAATAACAACCCTTTCCTTCTCTGAGGTGGCATTTCCTTCTGCGAGTTTTAAAAAAAATTACATAGGATGATTCAGGTCTGTTCTGGAATTCACTTCCATGGTGTGTCTTTGAAAGGTCATCTGTCATATTGGAAGTTCCATGAAAATTCCTGACCTAAACCAATAAGAACCCTAGAGGGTGACTCTCTAAACTAGTATTAGAGAGAAATATCAGTGTGGGGAGAAGTTGCAGATGGCTTTGCATGACACAGTGAGTCAGAGGAGTGCCTATGAGTGGAGCTTCCAAGCCCAGAGCCAGTGTCCTCTTTATCAGCCAGAACAACTTCGCTCTTTGCCTCTTCTGTTTGCTGCAGGTCCTCAGCTGGGGTCCTGACCTGGCCCCCAACAGGGAGGCATGCCTACCTGTGTGCACGAGAGTGCAGATGCGCTCACTCTCCTCCCGGCCCCGCACACTGTTGAGGCTGATTTCGTATTCGGTAGCTGGGTACAGCTTGGTGATGGTGAATTCTGTCACAGTGTTGGGCACCACGGAGCTGTCCAGCCGTCCCACTAAGGAAAAGCAGAAGCCACAGTTAAAGTTGAGCAGATCTCTCATCAAAGCAGCTCATGGCATAGTTCACATAGGAGCTCCTGATGGCACTTTGTCATGAAGCACGGATGGGTGCAAGACTTAACAGTTGGTGGGGAAGGAAGAAAAATGGTGCGTGGACTGACAATGCTCGAGAGAACTTACATGCTGGTCTCACCCCCTCATTTAACAGGTTCCTTGGAGCAAAGTAAAAGAACTATTTATTAGGTGGTTTTCTAACAAGCTGGTCTTTCTAAGGCAGTATAGAGGGCATGGCTGCAAAGAGTGGTCCGTGCAACCCAGAGACATGGTAGCCTGGAAAACTATCCCACCCGCTCACTGGAAGTCAGCACGCCTTTCACTTTGTTAACAATGCCACACGTGCTAGCAAGAACTGGCAGGATGCGGGGGAGATCTGGGCCAACTTCTTCTGACTCAGGACTTGGCTGGAGTGGCAAAAATAGGACCACTGTCACTGTGGTTCCCTCCAAGGCTTCGTCTGGCTCTGCTGGATCTTTAGGCATCCCCCAGGGTTCTAGTCTTAGACTTTACTCTCTCAGGAAAGTGCACATGACCCTGGCTCTTGGCAGATTCTTTTAGAGCTCTTTGTTCCTTACTACATTGCCTAGATAATGGTGACTAGCTACCTCTGCTGGTGAAGGGCCTGCTTTCTGGGTACATGTAATCAAGCCTTTTGTGAGAGGAGTTGGTGAGCGTAGGGTTTCTTGGGTGCTTCTCATCAACCCACTCTCATTCTGTTGGAGCATGCCACAGAGAGGAGGAAAAATGCAGGCATGGGGGTGATATCCTCTGGCGTACATTAGTTTTCCCATAACAATCTTCACCTAGCTCCAAATCCCATTCATCTTTGAGAAATCAGATAGTTTTTATTACCTTGTGTTGGCCGATATGATACTCGGTAGTAATCAAAAGATGCAACAGGAGGGCTCCAGGAGACCATAACTGAGTCCTTGGTCACATTGCTGATTGTGATGTCTTTGGGGGGATCAATTCCTACAAGGATCCAAGTGTTTGTGGGAAAAAGACAGAAAGACAGAAAGTGTGAAAAAGGGATTCCTATCCTTGGCTTTACATGGCCCATGTGCTAATGGTGTCCAAGAGGCCTGTAAGAACTTTCTGTGTACTAGGGCATCCTTAAAACCATGGTGAGGCTGAAGTCTCATCTGAAACCTCATGGATATGGCCAAAGCCATGTTCATTGAGAATGTTTTAAAAACATGAAGTCAATTTGGTAAGATCTGTGCTTGTGTAGCAACTATTACTACCTAAAGGCCAACTGAGAACTTTCCTTTAAGTTTGTGTGTTTTGTTTTGAACCGAGGGCAACATGGTCATTTTCTCTGGGGCAACTTCTCTTGGACAAACCCAACTTGATCTTTCTTATTTTTTTAGCAATCACCTTTGGTTCACTTTGGAAAAACTGCCTATTGACTGTAGAGGGATTTCAGAGCACAAGTCCAGAACAAATCCACTTTCTAAATTATATTTCGTTTATACTGTATACCTTATTTTTTTGACTGCTGGAAGATCGCAGAGTCAAAACCAGCTGAGTGTTTAATCCGCTTGTCCAGTTTGTGAGTTCTTGTTGGTATGTAGGAAACCACTCAAACACACATGTCCTCACCCACATACATACTCATATTTGTGATTGTATTTGGGAATGATGAGATGAGAATGATCCAATTCATCTCAGAATGCCTGTGTTTTCCAAACACCATGCAAATCAACCCCATTCTCTATGTACCAGGTCCCTACATGGTTCCACGCTAGTCCCATATCTGAGGAAGCATCGTTTGTGTTAGTGACCTCACTGGGCAGTGAAGAGATGGCCCTCCAGAATAGGAGCAGATGTCTCCTCACTGCAGAAGTATTTCCTCCAGGAGATTAACTCTCTCCAGGGCTTTCTCCTACACTAGTTATGGGAGGACTTCTGGACCAATATTCAAGCCTTGGCCTTCTCAAGACATTGAGTCCATTCTGCCTTCTAAATGGAAATTTCCCATCTTCTACATTTTGCATAGCTCTGGAAAAGGTGGCTGTTTCAGAACAGCTCATAGACCCTCTCTAGCCAAATGAGGCAGTCCCCTATTCCTTGGGTGTTTCTCTTTCTAAGTTTCATTGATTTGTCAAAGGCTACTGTGGGAACCCCTTTCACCACCTGCTGTCAAGTCCTCCAGCCTCACCTGTGGTGATGGAGCCCACGATGGGTTCAGAGGTCACCGTGCCATGTACTGCCACCAGGTTCACAATGTACTCAGTGGCTGGTTGTAGGCCCATCAGAACAGCATGCCTCTTGGTGGCATCCAGGGAGACCTCCATCATCTCTTCCTCTTCATCCCGGGGGTTGTAGTTCAGAATGAGTCTGTCTGCTGGCGGAGATGGGTCACTCCAGGTGATGTTCACACTGGAGGAGGTGACATGAGAAAAGTGCAAATGGGAGATGGGGCGGAAGCCTGCAAAATAGAGAAGATGGATGGTTCTGAAACACACAGGAGGTGGTAGGGCCACTGGGCTAGAAGAACTATCTGACTGAAGGGATCTACTTTTCTTGCTAATAAGGACTGTACCTTCACCTGCTGACCCTGAGCTTCTACCTCCTCACTCTCCAGTCCTGTCCGTTCATCTTTCTCCAAGCCACATTCTGAAAAATGAATGTCCTCAGCAGGATAAAGCCAGCATTATCTCTGGGAGTTATTCATAATACTGATCCAGGATTTAAAAGCTCTCTCTTGGAAGGAATTTAATACGATCCCATGGATCCTCTGAATGCCCACTGGTTTAGTGCAGGCAGGGGAAGATGGACAGAATCAACCACTATGTCGAGGCTGTAGGAAACCAGACACAAATTTTCAGGCATGTAGGCAGCCTAGCTCATCTCTACCCTTTACTTCCAACCCTTCCTTCTTGGTGTATTCATTACATCCATCTCTTCCTCCTCTAAAGGAAATGGGGCGTTAAAAGAATGGGTTGCCTAGATGGCCTTCCCATGCTAAGATCTGTTGATCCCTGAACCCGGCTGGGATTTCTGCTGCCCTGGTACCTGTGAAGGCATCCACGGTGGACTCCAAGCTCTGCTGCCGACCCCTCTCAGCAGTGATTGAAATGATGTACTCTGCCCCAGGTTCTAGATCTGTCAGTGTGTACGAGGTCATGTCCTTGGGCACAGTGACTTCTGAGGCAATTCCAGAGGATGGAGTAAAGGTAATTCGGTAGTGGTCAATGGGGCCACTGGCCTTAGTCCAGATGAGGGAGATGGAGGTCTCCGAAGAGGCTGTCACCATGAGGTCTCGGGGACTGTCAAGTTCTGTGGATAAACATAAGTGCCCTATTTTACACAAGTTACACAGGAGGGCCAGTATTTATTGGAATTGGACCTTTCTGTGGATTTCTAAGCTATCAGCAGGCCTGCTGACCAGGAGGATTAGCTTGTCATTGATGACACTTATCTCATATTTTGTTAAGCATCTTCCCTTTGAGAGATGGCCATGGGCTTGGCATACAGACTGACAATCTGCAGAAAGACATTAGCAGCCCTAACACCTCTGGAAAATAGCCACCTCTGGGACAAAGCTGGCTGCTGATTTTTAAGCTCTCTGCATTCATTTTCTCCAAGCCTTACTCAGCAAGCCGACCAGGGCAAAACAGGAGCCACCATCAAGGAGGGATATGCCATTCCTGGAAACAATAGCAACCCCTGTTCCTGAGACCATTTTGACTGACCTGGCCATGACTGTGTAGGCAACTAGATCTGAGGACTCCTGGGGACTTATGTCCATGTGCTTCTCCAGAGAGGTTGTCTATGCTAGACTGAGCCTTGGGACAGAGATTGGCTCAAGATTCCCAGCCCAGTGCAGGGTGCTTGTACCTAAGGTACTAGAGTGACTTTGAGATTTATCCAGGATCTGGAAGCAAAACTGCTGGATCCAGAGTAGCAAGGGTCTCAAGTGGACTTTTCCATTGCCCTTAGATTTAATGGGCTCCTTCCAAGTCAAGACCTTTATCCCTGTGGCCTTTCTGAGGGCTTCTGTCATGCACAGTGAGGGATACCACATTCTGCCTGCTGTGTGGTGGTCTAAAAGAAATATGATGTGCTATGACATCAACCTATCTGGGATTGTCCACCTCCGTTCTGCACAGCTGTGGGCAGCCCTTCAGACCACGGACACCATGCACACATCTGTGGGGAAGAGGGTGGGACTCCATCCTGCGTGTCGGATGTTGGAGGTCAGGCAGAAGGCATCAAAGAGCTGCAGGTAGATGTTGTGCCTAGGTGGATAACTGTCACCTGGAACCTGTTATCTAGGGGGCATTGCCTTCTGACCAGTCCTTACAGGACAAGCCTCCATGGCTCCTCGGGCTTACAGAGTATCCGGGTCTTCTTCCGCACCGATCCGCCTACTCACCAGTCCTGGCGTTCATGGTGGCTGGCACACTTTGCTGTGAGTTCATGACGGCAGATATTCCAACTCCATACTCAGTGCCAGGTACCAGATCTGTTGGTTGATGCAGAAACAAACATTATTCCATGTGTGTGTCAGGGGTGGGAAAGGCTGAAAGGAGGGAAACAAATGACCCTAGACTCCTGTTCAGATCTTGTGTTTAGTCCTTCCTGAATGAACTGATCAGGGCAGAGCCTCCTTCTTGCTGCTGGTCTCCTCAGGCAGACAGTGAGGCTGCCCTTGTCAGTGACCTCCAGAAGGGTGCTTTCCTGTGGAAGGTCTCCCTCTGGTACTTAGAGTCTCAGGTTGGCTACAGCTGGGGAAGGGATTTCTTGCTTAAGCTGTGAATGGGGAGAGTATATAACGGAGAGGAACTATGTGGACAGGGGCCTTTAAAGCATTTCTTAAAGCTTGTGTATAAGGACCAAGCTGCACCTTTTATAGATGGGGACTGAGGCCGTGTGGGGACTCCTGGGTCCCTTCTAGGGAGCAACACTGGAAGGACTTTCTCTCTGAGCACAGGGCTGTCAGGCCTTTAGTGTGGGGCATGCAGAAGCCCTGTTGCTGTGGGATCCCACCAAGATCAGTAATTCAGGCCCCAGGATGTTTAAAGCTAAGGATTCAATTTTAGAATGACTTCTGGGGGACTCTGAGAAGATGCAGAAAATGCAAAAATGGTCCAACTTACAGGTATAAGTCTCTCCGGAGCAATCCTTTGGGACTTCAATGCAAAGGATGGCTGGGAGCCTCCCAGAATATCTGGAATTAATTGGGGTGTCTCCCTACCCTCTCCCACATTAATTTTCAGACTAACTGGTTTGACTGGAGTATTAATTTCTATTGCTGCTGTAACAAATTACCACGACATACTGGCTCTAAACAACACAAATCCTTATTTTACGGTTCAGGAGGTCTGAGGTCTAAAATGGTTCAGCAGGGCTGCATTCTTTCTGGAGGCTTTAGGAGGAAATACATTTCTTTGTCTTTCCCAGCTTCTAGAGGCTGCCTGCATCCCTTGGCTTGCGGCCCCTTAATCCATCTTTAAGGCCAGCAGCATAGCATTTTCCAATCTGTTTTTCTGTCTGACCTCTGCTTCCATCATCCCATCTTCTACTCTGACTCTGATCTCCCTGCATCCTTCTTATAAGGACCCTTATGATTACATTGGCCCCACCTGGATAGCACAGGTAATCTCCCCATCTCAACATCCTTAACTTACTCACATCTACAGTTTCTCTTTTGCTATGTAAGATGACACAGTCACACATGCCAGGGATCAAAATGGGGGTATTTTGGGGGGCCGTTATTCTGAGCATCAAACCAGCATCCAACTCACCCTCACTTATTAGGAGTAGGATTACAGAAAAATGCAACAAGAGCAAATCCTCACCGGTGGGGGCCCCCTGGTCAGTCTGAGTCCTTTTGGTAGGTTCTGTGTGGGGCTCCGTGTGGCCCTGTCAGAGCTACGGCCAATGATCACGCTGTTCTGCATTAGGATAACATTTGCTCTTTTCAAAATACATGAAGTGTTTTGACCTCCATCTGCATTAGCTCCCTGTGACTATTGTGACAAATGACCATAGACAGAGTGGCTAAAAACAGCAGAAATTTATTCTCTCAGAGTTCTGGTGTCTAGAGGGCCAAATCAAGGCGTGAGGAGGGCCCTGCTCCTCCTGAAGGCTCTAAGAGGAGATCCTTCCTTCGCCTCTTCTTAGCGTCTGTGGTTGCCAGCAGTCTCTGGTTTCCCTTGACCTGCAGCTGCACTCCAGTCTCTGCCTCTGTTGTCCCATGGTGTCTCAGTCAGCTTGGGCTGGTGTAACAAACTGCCGCAGACGGCGTGGCTTACACAATAAACATCATTCCTCACGGTTCTGAGGCCAAGAAGTCCAAGATCGAGGCACCAGCAGGTTTCACGTCTGGTGAGACTCCATTTACTGGTTCTTAGATGGCCGTCTTCTCATGTGGCGGAAAAAGCGAGAGAACTCTCCAGAGCCTCTTATAAGAGCACTAATCCCACTCACAAGGGCTCCATCCTTACTGACCAAATCATCTCCCAAAGGCCCATCTCCTAATATCATCACATTGGGAATGAGGATTTCAAAATATGAATTTGGGGAGGACACAAACATTCAGTCCATAACACGTGGTATTCTCCCTGTGTGTCTGTGTCTCTTCTTCTTATAAAGACATGGGTCATATTGAATTTGGGGGCCTGCCCTGATCAAGTATGACCTCACCTTAACTTGATTTCATCTGTAAAGACCCTATTTCCAAATAAGGTCACATTCACAGGTTCCAGGTAGACATGATTTTTTGGGGGGACATTATTCAAACAGGTACACCGTCTTTTTACAAAAAGAAACTAAGGAAAAGAGTAAGTCTGTGACCAGCTGGAAATGACACTCTGGCTTCTGGCTTCAGGGTTCAGGGCTTTTAAGAGGACTGGAATGTCCCACCCCTCCTCTCATTTCATCCCCTCCCCAGAGCAGCTGTGAATTCTCTGGGATCCCTGAGGTAAGAGGAAGGATTTTGATAGGAAATGCACTGAGCAACTTTTCCTTAGCAAACGGTCTGGTTTAGTGAAGGGGAATGCTGCGAGAGGCCCCTGTACCCCCTCCTCAGTATGGCGTCACTGCAGCCTGTGCAATAAATCCCTCGTGCTTGAGTATGGCAGAACCTACGAGGCCTTACCGACCAGGCTCCCTGGCAGGAATGCATTAGAATCAGGCTACTTTTTCCTTTCTCTCACCAGTTCCATCCATGCCTAACTCTTAGTTCTTTCTTTCTCTAAAGCGCCAATATCAGTAGAGGTGAACTTTGAAGTCTGACAGACTTTGAGGTCGCCATACTTACGTTAATATTCATGCTCGGCCACTTTCTACCTGTGAAACATTGATTACTTAACATCTTTGAGCTTCAGTTTCTGGAGAATGGGAAGAATCACAGGATCTGTCTCAGAGGGTCATTGTGAGGATTAGATGAATCAATGTGTATAAAGCACAGCCTCTGGCCCCTCGTGATAGTAGCCGATATTATTATTCCCTTGCTCAGAGAACTATTCCAGGATTTTGAGTCCTTTTGTTGCGTGCCCCAGGCAGGTGCAGATCAGTCCTCAGGACACCTGTTGTTGGTTTGCTGATGCTTAGCCTGTCAGCTCTGATGAAACCAGTGAGTCAGGGAGTCCAGGTGTCAGCGAGGAGCTGTCCCATGGCTGGCCTGAGTACCTGTTGCTAGATTGAGTGGGTGATTGCAACGCCCCCAGATCCGCCTGAAGCCCGCATTTATCTCCGTCAGGATGTGCTCTGAGTCCCAGGTACATCCTTGGTTGGAGAAATTAGATTACCTTTGGGACATAAACCACTTCTCTCAGGCACCTGATTGAGACCTTCAATTGCCTATAATGAAGTAGGAATTCTCCGACGAAGATGAAAGATGACAGATCGAGGGAGTAAGACAGAAATTATATGTTGCCAAACGGATCTAACATGTAACGTTTTCATCTGAGTTTCTTATTTATGAAGCTTAAATGAAATGTTCAATAATTTACAATGGAATCATCTTCTCCCAGAAAACCGCAGAGCAGAATTTAAAGAGTACCGTCTTCCCAGGCTTTCTGTCTAGGGGATGGGAAAGTGGGACTCGCTTATAAGCTCCTGCCTGCTGCTTGCCTTTGATTTTCAGCAGCTCTTTTCCTGTGCTACAAGTGAAATGTTGCTCTTTGCCAGTAGGTAAAATACAGTTCTGCCGGAAGAGAAAATGTGTATCCAAGGCACATCTAACACACTTATATATCAGCACTCCGAGGCCGCCTGGGGAGTTCTCACTTTTTAAAGATCCCACTGCTCTCTATTAATGCTCCCTTTATCTTTCCATCCAACTCCTGCAAGTGGTAACATGTAAGTGTGGTAACATATAAGGTGGTAACATATAAGGGCTCAGTTCCCTTTCTTAACAGTAGCTCAGAAAATTCGTCCCTTAGGAGACCACCACTCTCCATCCCTTATAGAACTTCCTTTGTTCAACTTGGAGCTTGATGCTTTTCTCAGCCCTTTCACTGCACCCCCATTCTTTTCTGAGCTCCCAAAGCACACAGTTCATTCACTCAATGGGTATCACGGAGGGACTCCATTGTGTCAGGCACAAGGCCATGTCCGGGGGATACTGGGGTGAGCTGAGTGGACATCACCCTTGTCCTTAATGAGATAACAAGACATCTGTACTAAAGAAGGAAATCAATTATTTATTGAGCATCCATAAGAAGCCAAGCACTGAGCTACACGAAATAGGTACTCTAGAAGAAGACAGGGAGGGAAGAAAGGAGGGATAAAAATTGAAGGAGAATTTTTGAGTGACTGATGGTCAAGAGCACTATTGTTAACTATAGTTTCTTAGAGATTTGTCCATGTTATCTCATTTAATGCCCCTGTAGCTCTGCCAGGAGGACATTACTGACAAGCAAACAGAGGCTCAGAGAAGTTCATTCCTTGACCAAAGCCACAAAGCTAATATGTGATAAAACTGGGTGTGGAGCACAAGTCCTTTGTTCTTTCCGACACATCCTAGCATGGTCCCCATCCCTAACGGTCTTACAGGCCAGTTGAGGGGAGTGGAGCAAGCACATTGGAATTCGGCCCTACACCAGGGGCAGATGGTTAAGAAGACCATTTCAGAGGAGGGGTGAGATCAGCATGGGCTAGAGTAAGCCAGAGAAGTCTTTCTAGAAAAGGGGCTTGAGTTGAGCCTTGAGAGCCAGCCAAGACCAGAAAAAGTTGGGGGAAGGAGATACAGAGTTCTCTGGTGGTCAGGATGGGGCACGGTGAGCAGGAAGAGAACAATTAGGCCTGGAGAGTAAGAGGGGCTAGTGAATTCTCACCTGCACTTCAAGGACCGTGGGTGATAAAGGCAGAATGAGTCACTTGCCCCTGTTTAAGAGACCTGTCCTTCATGCTTCCTGCTGCTGGTGGGCAAGGAGTGGGAGGAGGAGGCCCGTGAAGCTGAGATTGCTGTCTCTTGCCAGCAAAAACATGAATAAGACACTTGGGGTCTGCAGGCTG